GTCGGGCTGGGGGGGGCGAGTTATCGGTTGGCTGGTGGTGAGGTGTTGTATTCTCTTCCCTTGTTATTTCCTTTATCATTGTTATTATTGGTGGTAGCAGTAGTGATTTGTGTTATACCTTAGTTACTAAACTGTTCTTATCTCAACCCGTGGGAGTTGCATGCTTTTCAATTCTCCTCTCTGTCCCTCTGGGAGTAGGGGGAGGGAAAGAAGGGGGGGAGTGAGTGAACGAGTTACCTGACTGGGTTTAAACCACGACAAATTTATGTGACAAATGACTTAAGATTTTCAGTGCACCACATGAAAATAAAAGATATCTTATAAATATCAAAAGTTTTAATCCAAATCTTGACCCCTCTAAAAGCTGCAAGAACCAAGCAACACTTCAGAAATCTTAGTGAATGGAAAGTTTTTGTGCAACATGGTTTTGTCACAGTTAATGCCAGCTCCAGTCTGAATTTAGTGTTTATTCAAGCACTTGGAATCTTTTACATACAATTCCTGCAAAACAGAAAGAAAAAAAAATATCCTTTGTACCATATATCGCAAAGAATGGGCTTGATTTTATACCAGATACAGAGAAATCTCAGAGGTACTGAAATCAATTATGAAAGTCCACCTCTGAAGAGGTTAGCATTTCACCCAAATAGAGGGACATTCCTTGCCTTATTGAGAAATACTTGGTATTAGTAATTGAAAAGGATATCCCCCATCATTACAGGAAACACAGCCATTGCTGTAATTCAGGAAAACTTAATAAATATATTTTCATACATTTAAAGTAATTGCACAGATGCAAGTCTGCTGAGAGATAAGACCAAATATACAGCAGGCATCTTTTGAAGTGACTGAGAGACTCAAAGCTCTAAAGGGTTTTGCTTGCTGAGCAAATTAGCTTTAAATCTTCATACTTAAGATTTGGAAGCTAAAGTAATCACTTCCAAAGATTTTTTCCCATTTCAGTACTTTTTCCATTACAGATCTAATGCATGTCCTTGTGCAGCTGCTTTGTTCTCCTGCATAAAGATAATTAGGTCTAATAATCTAACTTCCGAATTATTGCTATTCAGACTATATAGACCCATGGAGTTTTTCATTCAGTGCTTGACCATTCACACAAACACAGTAAACTGAAATCCTGTTCTGATTAAAAGCACAGAGAAGCTAGAATTTCCCATGGGATAGGGAGCATTCTTTTTCTAGTAAGTGAGGATGCTATTAATATCCTTCCTGCCATTTTTGTACAAGCAATGTGACTGTTAAAATTGGGATGAAGAACTACATGATTTTCAAAGTGAAGCAAGAAGACTGTGTGAATGAATGCCACTAGAATTTGACAAAAGATGTTATTAATTTTGTGATTAAACTGTGATAATCCCTGTGTATTTCTAAATCCCCATAAACTGTTTCATAATGCTTAAGAGTTATTACTCGTACGTGTTTTCTGATAAGCTATTGTCATGGGAGATTTTCTTAGCAAAGACTTGAGTAGGAAATTGGAGAGACTTGGCATATTTGAAGTACCCAGAAGAAGAATAATTTCCTCCTGGGCTAACTAGGAAATCCACTAGTTTTGGATTTGAAGGTTGAAGCTAGTATTAAAACTGCATAAAGAGAAATTACGAAGTGTTTGAATGGGCTTCTGCATTACATTGTGTGGTTCAGCTTAATCAACAGAATCTTCCAGTTGACTCTGTGTGTCTGCAAATAGGTATTTTCATGTTCATTTTGTGTTCAAATGATGACTGTCAATCCAAGCAGCTTGACCAATTCATTAAATTGCACATCAAATAGAGCTCCAACCCAAAACTCTGATATAACAAGTCCTGAGAAATACATACCCGTACAATCAGAGTGAGAACTGAGAAAGCAATACCATGGATCACTCACCAGTGATTTGTGCATTCATTTGGGTTTTTTTTAAATATCTCTCAGTAGCCATCTTAGGATGAAACACTTCCGTGACATGGTCCAGTGTGAGGTGTCCCTGCCCATGGCAGGGAGGTTGGAACTAGATGATCTTAAGGACCTTTCCAACCCTAACTATTCTATGATTCCATGATTCTGTGTGTATTGAATGCAGGATGGGGACAAGGTGGGCAGCTGGAAAACAAGAAGCAGGAAAATGAAAGAAGGTGCTGTCTTGATCCTTTGTGCAGTTTATGACCTTAAATATATCTGGTCAAAGCTCAGGGGATGCATAAAGCTTCCTGACTGTGAGTCTGCTGTCTCTCTTTTACTAGGAAAGACCTCTGCTTTTATCTCAACATTTTCTTTAATAACAAATGTGGTAAATAAAAGCCTGAGCCCCTGGTTGCCTCATTCTTTCTTAAGAATCCATTTTGAAATACGTAAGAGGCAGCACTAAATGCCTCCTTAACTAATGTCCACTGGCATAGTTTGTCACATAGTTAAGCACCTTTTGTAAAGCTTTATCTGATTTTAAATTGCTCCCTGTCAGAATGGTCGCGATCGATTACCACTAAAAATCCAACTTCCCTTTGTATGCCGTTAATTGCCTGATTTTAGTTCTTCTCCTGCAATATAGATTCCTATTGCCTTAGCTGCTTTTGCTTAATTTCTGTGAACAGTAGTTGTTTTTGCAGGCCTGTTTCCCAGACTTATGGAATATATATAGGAAATGTATATTAATTGCTACAATATTACTTAACTTTTATCAATATTTATATTTTCTCTTTTTGCTATCTCTTATTTTGCTTGAACTTTTAACATTCCTCTGTAATTTCTAGAAGTCCAAATGGTTTTTGCCTAACCAGCAAATGGCAGTTTTTCCCCTTGCTACTTAAAACATTTGTTAATGATTTGGAAAGCTGAAGAAGCATGCGTTAGCGGAATAAACACCACAAGAGGAAGTAAAAGCTGTTCTCTTGATTTCTGCTTTTCTTCACCATAAAACAGATATTGCTCTGAGAAAACAGTAGTGTTATATTTTATCTAAGAAACCTTGGACATACGGTAAGTACTAAGCACCATTACCTACACATCATCTCTTCTTTCTAGCTCAGTAATCTGAAATGCTGCAAGCCTTGGAGAGGTGGGTCATGAGGCCTCATTTCCAGGCATAGGTAAGAAGGAACCTGCATTCCAACCTGTGGTCATCGAAGTGAATGCTAACAGGAGAGTGGCACAATATTGTTGTCCACTGCTCCATTACAGCCACCAGCAGGTTGGGAGTGATGGTGAAAGCAGATGAAACCAGTGCCTTCCCTGCCAGCAGTTCAACGTGGGAAGACCATCATGCTCCTCCTTACACTGCATTGCATGCCTCAGCTGAGTAACTGGGGAGCATGCTCTGTGGTTTAGTATGATCCGGTTGAGTCTGGTTAGTTCAAAGAGCTGAAACGGTGGCACAGCAGCTCGCTTCGACTGGACTAGGCAAAGGAGTGAGTGCTCCCCTGAGGAGCTCAGCCAACAGCTTGCAGCAGAACAGCGCTGATGAGCAGTTGATGGCAAACTGGTATTCATCATGTTTTCCATTAGCACAGCTAGTGCCAGCAAGAATGTTTGTCCTTCGTTCCCTTTTTCTGCAACACTCTAAAACAAACTACTAACCATGTTGAGTGCAAGATCAGGAGCTGGAGCAGTCAGATTATTTGGCACTTCTGAGTAGCTGTTTGCTATTCATCTCCCCAGTCAAGGTGTAGTAAGAACACGCTCACAGGTTTATCTGCTAAGAAAACCATTTAGTGATGTTTCTGCTGCTTTGGCACTCATTCCTCTGCGAGACCCAGGCTGCACACTCAGTTGAGCTGCACTGTAATCATTAACATTGGGAGGCTGCTTTTTGGCAACTAGACTAATGCTAAAAATAAACTATGCAAAGAAAAAAACCCCCAACCATATAAATCCATAGTGGGAGTCGCTTGCTTCAGAAAGTACCATGTTATTTGAAGATGCTTTTTAGTGTCTTTCCCGTGAGTAAAATAATGGAGGAAAGTTTAATAATGTAGTGTTTTTCCAATCACCTGTGCAAGTCACCCCAGGCAACAGCAGTGGCACACACAAAGCATAGAAAAGTTTGGAAAATTCTCAGATACGCATCTCACCATACTAATAAATTCTTGTGTTATAAGGATGCTGTTTACTACACATCATCCTTAGAAAATAAAACAGAGAGGAATTCTATTTCTCTTTACTTGATTACATGGTAAAGTCTGTATTTTGTTTTTCATCCCTGAATGTTTTTTTTCATTTAACTGGAAAATTTAAAGACAGTCTGACCTTCAAAAGGGGTGTCTGTGCATGTATGTGTGTGCCTCCTGAGCCTTTGGACTTGATTTTCCACAAGTTCAGTACTGCTGATAGCAAGTGTAGGTAAAACATGGTTAAGGAGATTTTCTTACAGAATGCATCATACTTTAAAAAGTGAATGCCTTTGGTGTGCCTTTTACCTCTGGGGCTCTGTCCTCGAGCTCAGGTCTCAAAGCTCTCCCCTGCAGTTAGAATGCCTGGTAACCAATTTAGGCATAGAGGCCGCGGGTCTCACAACCTCTCAGCCGCAGAACACGGACGTCCGATGAAGAGCCGGGTACAGGGGCAGGACCTGGGGCTGCAAGGGGCTGGCAGAGGCCGAGCCCCAGTGCCGGGTGCCGCTCCTCGCCTCTGCCCCCAGCGGGGTCCGTGACCCCGCGGTGGTGCCAGCGCGGAGCTGGGCAACGTCCTTACTAATCCAGACCACCGGGGCTCGTTCTTCGGGGCGTCTCCGACGGGTGGAAAGAAGCCTAAATGACGACGATGAGGAAGGCGATAATTAACTGTAATGGTGACGAAGCCCGCTCCAGCAGCCCGGGACCCCATTTTTGCACCCCGCCGGACCCGCAGTGGCGGCGGCGGCGGGGGTTAAAGGACACGGGCAGGCCCAGCTGGCTCCGCGGGGCGCGGCTGTGCCTGCCCACCCCGTCTGTCCCCCCAGCCCTCTGAACGCCCGGCAGCGTTGCTCGCCACTCTCCCCCTGCGCCGCGGTGTCGGGAGCCCCTGCGCGGGCCGCGGGCGGGAGGACGTGCGTGTCCGCCCGTCGCGGCTGCTGCCATCCCGGTACCGCCCGCTGCGGGAGGTCCCGCCCGCGGGGAGGCTCCGGGGCCGGCGGGTGGGCGCGCCCCTCGCCCGGGGCCTGCGGCGGGGGCGCCGGATAAAGCGGTGCCGGCCCGCCCGCTCGCCGCCACAGGGGCGGCCGGGACGGGCCCAGCGGGGCGCCCCGCCATGGCGAGCCCCGCACGCCCGCGGCAGGAGCCGGCGGCGGGAGAGCGGCGGCTTCTTGGAGCGGCCCCGACGGTGCCCCGCGACGCCAAGCTGATGCTGCTGGAGCTGCGCCGCTGCGGGCGGCCGCCGTCCCCCGGCCCCGGCATGCGGCGGGAGGAGGTGGAGGAGGAGGCAGAGGAGGAGGAGGAAGAGGAAGAGGAGGAAGCGGCGGCGGGCGAAGACTGTTGCAGCAAGTGCAAGAAGCGGGTGCAATTCGCCGACTCGCTGGGGCTGAGCCTCGCCAGCGTCAAGCACTTCAGCGACGCCGAGGAGCCGCAGGTGCCGCCTGCCGCGCTGTCCCGCCTGCAGAGCCCGGCCGCCGCCGAGCCGGACCCGCTGCCTCCCGGTGAGGACCCGCCGCAGCCCACGCCGCGCCTGGTGCCCGACTTCCCCGACGGCGGGGAGCCCAGCGCCGAGCGGCTGCAGCGGCAACGAGTCTGCCTGGAGCGGCTGGGGCGGCCCGCGGCGCCCACCGACGTGCGGGGCACGGTGCGAGTGTGGGGCGGCCCCGGCCCCCAGGAGGTGACGGTGCGCTACACCTTCAACGAGTGGCTCTCCTTCTTGGACGTCCCGGCCGCCCCGCTGCCCCCCGACCCGCCGGCCGAGCGCTACTGCTTCACCCTGCCTGTCCCGCCGAGCCTGCGGGAGGGCTCGGCCCTTCACTTCGCCATCCGGTACCGCGGCCCGCAGGGCGAGTTCTGGGACAACAACGGCGGCCGCAACTACACTCTGCGGTGCTGCGGCTGCCTCGAGATAGGCCCCCGCGATTGATGGGCGCCCGACCGGGAGGGCAGGGGCAGGCGGCCGCAGCCCCGCGCCAGAGGCCCTCTCGGGGGGGGGGGGGGGGCCTCACCCCGGAGAGTCCCCCAAACCTGGTGGGTTTTGAGCGGCTGCTTCGTTTTTTCCGGCGAAGGATGGACGTGCATAGTGTCGCGTTGCTGTGGCTTGTGGAATCGTTTTCCTTTTACTTTGTGGAGAGAAGAAGAGACTGAGTAGGGCTTTGCTTTTCCCCTCTTGAAGTGAATTTTTGGGGTCTTGATTCAGGCTTGACTGCACCTACCTGATTAGTCAGAGCTGCACAGAGCGCTGGTGTGAAAACTTTGTGATGCGTTCGCTCCAGATGTAACTTTGGATCCAGGTTTTCCTGTTCTCACATCCATTTCAGAGACAGTACTGCGACAGCAGTGGTGTGCTTTGTGTTTTCAGTTATTTTGTTAGTTGAATGGACTCCGTGACAATACCATTCACTGCTGTGAGCACCCGTCAACCTCACGACAACCCTGTCCGTACCACCTTTACCGTGCCTGCGGCATCTCTGAACAACAGCCTGTCCGGGGGCTGGCTCTGGGGCTGAACTGGGCTGCTCTGGTTTTTGTCACTCCGCACACTTCGATACCGCTCCCTGCCTTCCCCAGGCCTGTGCGCACATCCCTCCTGGCTAATAGCAGCCAACAGGGACTTCTGCAAAAATGTTTTTGCTTAAAATAGACTGGTGACTTCTCGCACAGATGAGAAGTCTAAAACCGGGACAGAGGAGGAGTTAAAGCATTTGCTGATGCTGCATTTATCAGGAGAACTTTAGTAACACCTCTGAGTAACTCACTGTGAAGTAAAAGCTGGTGTCCGTCTTGCACACAGTTCGGCATTTCCAGGTTTGGGGAGTGGTGACTGGTTTGGATGACCTTCTCCCACAGGAGGATGCAACACAGAGGGTGTCCTCAGTAACAAATGAAAAGACGTGCCTTAGTTCAGCTCTCCTCGTATTACATTTTGCACCACATTTCTCAAGTATTTCTAATTTATTCAGCTTATTTTGCTACATACTGTTCAGTGTTTGTATGTTGCTGGGAAAGGGGTTTGTTGTGCTCACGGTTGGGCTTTGTCACGCTGGGCACTTGAAATGGTTTCTGTAGTCTTCACTCTTGCCCTGCGAGCTTGGTTGACTACTACTGGTGCCCCAAGCCCTGAAATTAAGCAAAAAGTACCAATGAGAATGGGTTTGTAAGAATAAAAAAAGCTTTAAAAAAGTGAAAAAGCTCACCATTACACATCCTTCTTTTTGTGTGTAGCAAAACATAATGGGATGCTTACTGGTTTTGCAAACTGGCTGCATTCCTGCCCTACCATGTGGGGTGCAGAGGGGCTCGAGCTGTCGGTGTGCCTCGCTGTAACCGGGGATGTTGCCTGTCCATAGGCAGCAAGGCAAATTGCCCTGTAAGCCCATGATGGCCCTGTGTGCTCTTCTAAGAGGCATCTTGGGCAGAGCTGTGATGTGAGGAACCTTTACTAGCATGGGGGGTAAATAGCCAGGTGTCGGTTGAGTTTTGTTCTGGCTCTTCTGCAGCTTTGACTCCGCTTATTTTCTTCTGATACAGTGTCTTAAAATTGAGGGTAGTTTTTCTGATGAAAAGATCAGTGGGTAAGACACTGCCAGAACACAGAAAATACTGTGTCATGGATGTATGTTCTTCAGTAAGGCCTGGGAAGATTACTTTCCTTTTAAAAAGAGAGCCTACTGTGTGAGTTTTCTCATGTCTTCGTTTCTTCTGAAGATGTAGAAGACGTAAACATGTGGAACATCTCAAAGCCCATTACGAGCACCTTAGAAAAAATATCTTCCTTATGTAATTCCCCATTCTTGAAAATGAATCTTCCAATAACCTGCCTCTTGGGAGAGCTGGTTCAGAATCAGAGCTAGAAGCTGGGGGTTTACTGGGGAGATGACATGAAGCAGAGGCAGCGTCAGACTTCTGCAGTTTTGCTAACACAGGCACTGCTTCTGAAACACAGCCTGCTCTCCCTCCTCCCTGAACCATAGAATTGTAGAATGGTTTGGGTTGGAAGGGACCTTCAGAGGTCATCTAGTCCAATCCTCCTGCAGTGAGCAGGGACATCTTCAACTAGAGCAGGTTGCCCAGAACCATATCCAGCCTGGCCTTGAATGTCTCCAGATACCTGTACGTAAACCCTTGTGTGAGAATATGGCCAAATACAAAGAGGTGTTTAGTTCCTTCAGAAACTGCCCTGTTGTTAAGAGTAGTACCAAGTTTGTTTTAAAACTGCCATGTGTTACAGGATTACAGGATATTAAGTGGAATAATCTAGTATGAATTAGCCTTTCTTCAGATACTTGTGTTAATGGTGTGCTCTTACGACGATAACACTAACAGCGCTGAAATTGATTCTTTAAGTGCAAGGTAGTATTTGAGGCTTCTGGAGCCCATTTCTTAGTCTGTGTTTTGTTTATTAATTGCTTTGGAGAATAAGGAAGCTCTGCCAAAAAGGGAGGGGAGGGATCCCTCTCTCCTTGAACAGAATTTAAAGAACAGCCATATCCTGGTGGCTGTGTCTGGGCAGGGCTCAGACAAGCCTCAAACACACTCACTTCTTAATCCATAGCACATTTTTGTACTTTGAAGAATTTACAGAAGCACAGATTGCCAAAGCAGGTTTCAAAGACTGCCTACACACACTGCTCTGCATTTTCACGGATGAGCTTACTGGGGGCTACAGAAATGCAAAGCCTCACCAAAGATTACATTGGGCAGTAGTGTAAGAATCCGAACCAGACCATGTGTGTACTGCATGCTGGCAAGCACAGGGCTGCTGCTTGTGGTCATAGGCTGAGATACATGGCTTAATTGCAATTTTACTCAAGAAATGCTTCAAAATGAAGTATTTTTAATTGTGTAAAATCAAAAGTCCCAGCAGAGTAAAGCATTAAGTAAGCACTCTTCTTGTCTGGTTGCATTACTGTTAATGTAGTATTTTATAAAGATTCAGAGCATAACTTCTGGAGAATGTGCTCATAAACACCCTCCCTCCCCTAACCTGAGATATCAGAAATGGTAAAGATTTGTAAGTGCTTTTGGAAAAATTCCAGCTTCAAAGATTTTCATTGTACTCATATTTCTGGTTTGTTTCCCCATGGATTAAGGGTTTAGGGGAGAAACAGCTGCCAAATGGTTTTATAGGTGTATGTAGAACCAGAAAGTTCAATACAGTTGAAACTGTGCTGAGTAACTGTGAAGGACAGCTAAGTTAAATCTTCCTTGAGCCATTTTTTGCCGCTTACATTTAAATTCAGATCTAAATGATTCAGAAAAGGACTCTGAAGCTAAATTTACTTTAGTGTCATGAAGAACCACAAACTTGCATGCAAACTAGTTCTGTTTTATTTAAAGTTGGGGCTTTCAGTCAGTACTTGAAAAGCCTGGCTTCTGCTCCCATTGGCTTCTTAGGGATTTGGATCTGGCCCAAAGTACTGCAGGAAGGTAAGGGAAATGATCTAGGTTTAATTGTCTATTCTGTTCAGAGTCTTGTGTTATGGGGTTAGGGTAACACGGCACTGTGATGAATGTTCATCTGTCAGGAGTTCAAAATCTGCTGCCTATTGCGTGGCTGTAATTAAATCACCTTAATTGTTTTTCATGATTCTTTTTAAGAGAGGGAAAATTACTTGTCTTGGATTAGCATATTGCTAAAGACTGGTATAAATATTTATAGGGTGCACTCTTTCAATAGAAAGCCTTTACATTCTTCACAGGTCTCCATAGTTCTCTTACTCCGAACACATAAGAGAAGTCATTTGAATGCAGTACTTAATACCACTTCCCTCTCTTGTAAGTAGATAGTGTGCTTCACAGTAAAAAAGGTAAGTAGTCCAGAAAGAAGCACCTCTTGTCACACATTGATGATAACTTAGTTTTCTGTGAAAGCTGCAGAATCCTTTGAAGGTGAACATGTTTGTGATACAGGTTTGAGAATTCTGAATTTTTTTCATCTTACAGTTGTGGAAAATACACAGTGGTAGAAGAATTACTGCCTTCTCATTTTTCCTGCTTCCAGGGCTCATGCACCATTTTTGTGTTCTAAAACACCGAAAAAAAATAAAAAGAACGTAAACTCTCAGTAAAAGAGCTACACACCTTCCATCCTTTTTAGTTTTATAAATGTCATCAAGCAAAACGTTCCTAAAAGTATGAAATAATGATGCCTGTGTTAAGAACTGTGGAACAAAGCGATCAGTATACTCCCAATGTGAATAATGGTAGGATTTCACTGTAGATCATTATGGAAAACTCAGGAAAACAGTCAGTGCACAGCTCTTTCATGGCTCTGTTCTTTGTTTTGATGTATGGTCTGTGCTGGGTATCTGGGGAGGTGCATTTATGTCGCATTACAGAAAGGAGGTTGAGAGGCTGGTGCTTCTCCATAAAATTATTGTACCTGTTGATGTTAAGAGGGTGAATGTAATGCTTTTAATGCCTGGAAACTTGGTGAGGTTTTATACAGAAATACCTTTTTAGAAATCGTTAAAATACTTCTTGGCCTATTTCAACACTGTATGTAAAGCTTTCACATGCTATTCCCTCGAGTTGCTTTCCTCCAGGACACCTGTACCTCTGATAGATCTGGGCATTCCGAAACTGAGTTTTCAATTGCAGTAAAATCTCCTGGGAAGCTGTAACACACAACAGAAATCCCTATCCTTTAAACAGTTACTGATATTAGACAAATTGTTTTTTTTTTTTTTTCTTCTTACAGAGCACTGTTTCCAAGTTTATACTGTAAAAGTCACGACAAACTTCAGGGCATGTAAACAGTCAAATTTTGGTGCGTACTGCTGAGGTTAATAGTTTGCTAAAATGTTGAGACCAGGGACAGAGAAACATTTTTAATATAACACAAAAGCAAGCTTGTTTTCGCTAAGACATTGCAGCTTTAGTAAAGATACTGCACTCCCTTCTAAGGAAAAAGGATACACTTTTTATAATAGCGGACATTGTACATAAGTCATAGGATCATTCCTTTGTGTTTAAACTATTCCTGTTGTTTACACTGCTTTAACAAAATCCAACAAAGCTCCTGACAGCGTGCCAAGAGAGAGATTTAATGAGTATTGCAGCGTAAACGGAACTGGTGAAGCACAGAAGGTGCAGTTGTAAGAGCACAGCAACTCTGAGGCTGGACCACAGTGCCAGCTCTACAGTTCGCTGTCTCCAGCAGTGACAATGAGCACATGCCTATCCATGAGTAAGAATAGGGCAAGCGGGTTCAAACATAATACTAAAGTAATCCAAGCCTACAACTATTATTTCAGCACTGGACTTCATAAGCCAGATGTGGCTTCTAAGTATTTTCCTTTTGTAGTTTGTAGGATTTCAATGACAAAGCATTTGGTAAGGTGTGTTTTTATACAGAACCGGGTTATAACAAAATTACTTAAATGGGCATGAGGCATGGAAAACATAGTATTTCTAGTTATCTTCCAATCACAAACAACTAATAGGCATATAACTAACAGTAGGAGAGTGTGCACTTACATGTGTGTTGGTAAGGAAACATACAGATCTGTCTAAAACAGAGAACAAACATCTAAAATGCAGTGATGTTTGAGTATTAAATGCTAATACCTTTGAGTAGTAAACGCTAATATGTTTCTAACTTTGCACTTGTGTTAAGTTAGAGAGTATTACACAGGCTTTTGGTCTTTGGCAGCAGCAGTTTTCTTACATTTGTTCTAATAAGTAATGTATAAATAGTGTGTGTAAGTCTACGGGTAATTTGGAATAAGGACTAATCTCCCCTTGGCTGAGAAAGCTACCAAACCTCTGTACCACAGATCTGGGGAGAGGGAAATTACAGAGCCTGATTTTTATTTATTTATTTATTTGTTTGTTTTTAAATTTTCTTGATAGGCCCTCTTTGTAAATGTATCCTGAAGGTTACTACTGATCTTTTGGAGGTATGAATAGCTAAGGGAGATAATCTGAGCGGTAACCTTGAGACAGAAAGTAGGAGCAGATGGCATGAGTTAGGAGTGCAGTACTGCTGTATCCACCACCAAAATTTAACAGCAGAATTTTCAGGCATTAAAGGAAGAGTAATCTTTCTACTACTTTTGAGGGGATTAATAAGAAATTACACATTCTTGTGCCTGCACACCTGTATGACAGCATCTGTCATCTACAACTGCATTCTCACTGGAAGCATCAATAAAGAACTTCACTGGAAAGGTACTGGTATTTGGAAGAAATTATTATGTATTTAAAAGGCCTCTCTACTTGAAAACAAACTTTTTTTTCTTTTTTTTTGTGAAGATGGTTGAAACATAGGTTCAAATAGCAAAAATATTACTGGAGTTGTCCCTCTTTATAAATTAGGGCTACACTATTTATAAGGATGTTTATTTTGTTTCCTAGCATACATTCTCAGATCTTGAAACAGTATGCAGTGCTTGTTTCAGTAACGAAGCTGTTTTAAACAAGGATTTTGCACGTACTGTTTTAGGGATCAAGTTCCTTAGAGCATAAAACTGGCTGCCCTTCCAGGCCTGTGTCCTCTAAAGTGTAAGATGTTGACTACATGCGAGTTCACTGGAACCTGAAATGGTAATCAAACCTTTCCTCCCCTACACTTTCACCATTTACTTAAGTGCACTTAATTACTCAGTTGTGAATGTGGAGATTTAAAACACAGAATTAAATGTGTATTACCTGTAAGGTTAATTAAATTCAATTTTAATAAAATGTTCACTAAAAGCAATTTACACTGCAGTACTTATACACTTAATAGGAAGATAATTATTACTGTATTTACCTTTAATTTGAAAGAGAGTGGAGGCTACATTTGTAGTTTCAGGTAGTCACGGTATCTTACTCCGTGCACTATATTGTTAATGGAATGCATTACTATACATTTCAATCTAACTGTCTAAAATTATAAAATACACTTTAAATGATGGTAGTGAGGAATGGGAATTTGTTCTAAATTGGACACTTTGTCTATCCTCTGCTTTAATAATGTTATCCCACAGCCTGAACAATGCAGAACTACAAAAATTCTAAACAAAGCTGACTTTTGGGAAGCAAGAAAAATAAGGGGAGGTTTTTAAAGGCCACAGTGTCATGGATCTAGTTTTGAGTTTCTGTCTCCCTTCTTAAAAAAAACCCTACAACAAAGCCTTGAAGAAAAAAGGAGTGTTTTTTCCCTGTATGCTATTAAAAAGCTTTGTATTACTTAGTTTTTCTGCAAATTTCTAACAGAAGACAAATTCAAGCACAGCAATGACTTGAACAGAACCTGATTAAATTTGTTTTTTTTTAACGTACTGTCTTAAAAGGGTTGATTGTTCTATAGTTTTAATAATAGCCAATAAAACACTCTACTGAGTGTTCCACTTTTGCTAGGCAAAGCTTGCTGCCAATTCCTGACTTTCAGCATTTGAGTTATTGTTGTAGTTAGGTTCTTTTTCTCCTGCAAAATTCAGGAGCTTTGTGAACAAGGGAAACCTTGCGTAAAGGGATGTGGGGCTTTCTGCCAATAGCTGCACCTCCATAAATTTAGAAAAGGACTCAATGGTGAAAATGTATTTTAAAGCTCCCAAGCCTCAGTGATGTAAGTCTTGCATTCTGCTGTTCTGATCTGTTAATTGCTGAAAGTAGGATGAGACTGGCTATTATGAACTCAAAGTACTTATGAGTACAAAAAGAACTATTTAAAGTTTTATGTTACCTCCTGAAATGTAAAGGGATGCTCTTTAAAAAAAAAAACAAAGCGCAATATACAGCTTATGATTATTGTAAGCATCAAGGTCCAGGAAATGAAAACTGTTCATCCCTGGTTTTCAAATGAACTATGTGTTTAGTAACATGCTGTGTATTTTTAAATGGAACACTATCAATAAGAACTTAGTAACTGGGTGAGGGACTTTAACACATCTTTCATGCTCTGTGAGAGACAAGGTCAGCAGCAGAAAAATGTATCTAGTTACAGCTAGTTTAATGAAATTTTATTGTCAAAGTAGGGCAGGAACTATTCCATCACATGGAACACACAAGCACACGCATTTCAAGACTACCTTACATGCTATCATAAATCACAGCAATATATTTTAGAACATGTGAACCATTAGAAAATAGTACTTTGGTTGCCAAAAACTGAGTCTCTCAGGCATTTCTTCTGCTGAACAGAAAAGCTCAGACATGTGCAGTGAGTTTACGCTTCTGTATGTGGCACTGTAGGATGCTGATGATGGTCCAGTGTCGCTTCAGGATTGGAGTCTTCTCATACCTATGTGTTTTCTGGACTCTCAATAACCAGTTTCTGCGTGGAATAGAGTTGCCCAATAGTAACCTGAAATCAAACCAAAATATCAGAAAGCTGAAACCAGAAAGGCAACAGGTCATAATTTCAGCCGTGTAAGAGTGATTTAAAACTCCAAGAACTGAGTAGCCCATATGTTAAGCTTTTTTATAATGACATTTTTTTCTATAAGCATATTTTTGTAAATAATCTTGTTTCAGCCTAGATGTTAAGAAAAATAACTGATATATAACATATCTGCAAATATAAAATCTTGAAATCATGACATTGAGGAATACTGTTCAAAGGATCGTATTTAGTTAATATTGGAGGTTACTACAGAGGAAAAGCAAACAGGCTGTGTATTTAGAAAACTGAAAATATGCCTATAATGAAAAATAAAAAGGTAGAGTCACCAGGTATTTCTCACTACGCTTTTTGGGTGGAGACCCTAGATATTAACTCCATGGTATGGTATTGCTTTCCAGTTCCTTTGGAGTCCTAATTTAATCTGCCTTACACAGGGTGAAACCAGTTACAGTTAGCTCAGCAGTAACATTTTACACACACTGGAACTGACCTCTTGTTCATGAGATGGTATTGACACCTCATATATATGTGCTTTCTAGTGCAATGAGGAACTGAAAAATGACAAAAATGCAACACTCATACTTTGATTCCTCTTGTTCTTTAGTACTTTCCAGTCTGCATTGTAACACTGGTAAATTGTAGACAGATGGGCAGCTGGCAGTAGTCACACACAGCTCTTTGCTTAACAGTTGTGGTGTGGAAGGAAGAAGTTTCATGCAAGTAGGGTAACGTAAGCAGGGGAAAACATTTATTTTAAAAGTATGAATTTTTGAATGTAATTTTTAATATCTGTTATGCCCTTTCTCACCTCTACTTCCTCCACAAAGCCTGGGTACACGGTAGCTCTGTGTCCTTTCCACATACATACAAATGAAGTTCTTCTGTTTAATTATGGAATTAGGACAAAAAGGCTAGATGCTTAATTACACTAAGTACAATATAATTATTAGAATTGAATACTGCACAAACTAAGCCTGACAACAAGTCGGGATGTCAAAATAGTGAAAAATTAGGGAGAGCAATTTTGCAGCATTTTTAATTTACCATTTTTGAGGGGGAAAAAAATCTTGGCTGCTCTTAAATAAAAATCTCTCATCTATGCCCACACTCACATAAAATGTAAATAATATTGCCTTTTAGGAAATGAACTATTTCATTTTGATAAACAGCCTTGTCTGAAACTTGTAACACATTGATTTTAATCTTGAAATATTTATTACAAGGGAGAATTTATGAGCCATTCTTAAAGGAACAGAAGTTCTCTTCACCAGCAAATTTCCCTTCTTTTGGCACTGAGCTAAGTTAGTAACAGCATATGAACGACTCGGATTATATTTTAAATTACTTACGAAGTATGTTACACACAGAATATTTAAAACAAAGGCTGTACACAACTCTGGCATGCGTTACCAACAGAAATTTTAAGCTGTCAACAACTGTTACTTATCAAAGAGAACTCGCTGCTCTGGGTTATGTGGCAAGCTATACACTTTAGTTGCTGCCTTACAACAAACCATGCTGTAGTACTTAATTTCTGTATACCGTGTTTTGGAGCCCAAAGAATCTTTAATCCTTTCCCACACAGTAGAGCAAATTTAATGGGAGGCTCAGAGGGATTATAAAAATGCTGAAACCTGAATTGCATTTCTTTTTCTCCACCAACTGGGGAGATAGATGAGACCGAGTACGTGACTTCTCAGTCAATCATATTCAGCCGGGGCAGATGGCTATGTAAGAGAAAGGTACGACCTGTTGTTTGCTGCTCCTGTGCCAACAGGTGATATTATCTACTGCTGTACATCTTGTCTTGAATGCCATGAAACCACAGATGTGTGTGTTGAGCTGCTTCCTTGGCAAACCACAGGCATGCGGGCATTTCAGTGAATGCACAGTGCTGGGCTGTCTGCCTTTGCTGGGCTGCTGCCTCCCTTAAAGCAGCTATGCCATGCCATACCATTTTAAGCTGAACTTTGAAACATGAAAAATTTTTTAAACCATTAGCCTTGAATTTCTAACATTATGATCAAGCCTTTCCCATGCACTTCAGACAAAACAAACAGACCTTCCCTTTATAGCTGCTGAAAAATTCACATCAATAAACATCCACTGCCTCAGCAGAAGGACTGCACCAGTATTTACACACTGACACTCATTAACCCTCTGAATCAAAACAGCGTTCTTACAGTGTCCTCACTGATGCTAAGTCTAAAGAAAGGACTTAAGCAGCAAGCATCACTGTGTATCATTCCAAGTTTAAAGACTTAAGTGGCTATCTATTGTGTTCTTTTTTTCATCATGTGAGTTTGTAGCTTGTACACCACATACCATGTACTCTTCTGGTAGATGGCTGGCAGCCAGTGCATAGGTCAGTGTCAGGGTATTTTCATTAATCACAGGAAGCTTTTGTGGAAAAAGGCTCTACCATTTGTTCAGCAACTTTGTTACCCAGAATTTGATTTACCTCTGTAAGGTAACATATTGCAATTAAATTCTGCAGGAAAGAATGTGCACTAAAGAACCACTCTGCCATCAGGAGAAGATAATAAATAGAAATATAAAGGCTGCTTTTCGGATCTGACTGAATTATTTAATGTTTAAATTCTGCCTGCAAAATTACGTACTTTAAAAGTAAGTCTGACAAGCCCGACCACCAAAACCTGACAATTTGTCCTTATTCTGAGATTTAGGACAAATCTATACAGTCAGTTTTTTCTTGTGAACTTGAAAAACTTAATCTTGCCTTCCATCTGAATCCAGGAGAAGACTCAAGGTTTCAGAATGGGATTTGTCAACAGATAAGAGACAACAAACGGAAAAATAAATAACTGAACAGTAAGCACTGGTCCATCCTGTAACTCAACCATTTTCTGGTTATTAGGTGTTTATGTGTTCAGACAGAAACAGGACTTTTCCTTGCTCGTGGCTGGCAGCAGCAATTACAGGGAAAAGCCTCTTCAGGGAATCTTTTCTCACTATTGAGAAAAGGAAGTATGAGAGGTTTTCCCCAGATAACAGAGTATCAGAGATGTGTATGGGGAGGTGCAGTAAAAATTCAATAGTAGAATTAAATAAAAAGCAGTAGAATAAATATTGATAAAAAAGATCCCCATGTCCTGAAGACGTTAGAAGAACATGCTATCACCCTAAAAATTCACCAAATCCAGTCAAATTGCCAACTCTGTCCTCTCAAAACAGTCTATGGTTGACCAGTGCCTGACTCTCAGGGAGACCTGTGGTGGCTGCTGAGCAGGTTATATATAGCTTTCATGCCAAGCCATGTGATAGATACAACTGCAAGGGGACCGTGGTGACCTGGGAGGTAGCCTGAAACCAAGGGTCTGCCTTCCTATCCAACACAGCCACTGGAGTAGACCCTGCAGACTTTGCAAACTACTACTAGGTCTTCAGCTTTTGAAGGTATGTGGTGTGTCTTGTGGGTTTTATTCATATGAAGAATTTACTTTGCAGCTCAGAGTTGAGGGAGAAGTGACTGCTCCTGCAGAGCTGAAAATACGGTGACTGGGTTTTAAACTTTTTTCTAACTTGCCTTAGTCATTTTAGAGTGCACGGTACTGCTCTGGAAGGTATGATGGCATCTTTCCTTCACAGCTCTGTACATATAATAGATGAAAAACATTTGTTGACTTTCATAAACCACAGTGTTTAATTTTCTCCTCCTTAATTGTGCTGGCTCTGCAATACAAAGGTGGCCAGGTATCCCTTTTCCCCATGTATTTAACAGAATTGCAATTACATGGTGAATAACCTGTGAGCTCTAACAAATCCTGCTGAGCCCTGATGAAGATACTTTTTCTCACTGTTACCGAACTGCTCATCATTATCTTCCTACCAAACAACTATCTACCTGCTTAGGTGAGGTCTTAATGACAAATTTCAGTGCCTTAAAATTACTTGGGTAAGCAGCTAGGTAGCAGACGTGAGGAAAAGTAATGTCCAAAAGGAAATGGCAATGCACAGCCAAATCAGGTGGATCAGAAGGATGTCCACAGCTTCAGTAAACAAATGCAAAGCCAAAATGACAATAAACCTGGCTTGTAATATCTCTTAGCAGGAGTGACACATGAGAAGGAAAGACAATTTAGGTCTCAGCCCTTGAAGGAATGTTAGCACCTTGCACAGCTGGTGACATATCTTGATTGAGTTCCCCAACTGATGATGGGGAAACATCATTTTCCTAATTGCAATCAGGTATGTTCTCACGTAATAAATGTGGTATGACTACAGACCCTTGTGTCTTTACCACTGCTTTCTAAGCTAACTCAATGTAAGAGTGGTACAGAGGAGCTTCCCTTCTCTGTCCCTTCTATGTCTTCCCCCATTTGTAACACAAATGGCAAAATCAACAAACCGTGCTTATTTAGTTACTGTCCCCTTATTTAAATATAGTTTCTGAAGAAATCTCTAGGGAGCAATTTTCTGTCCTCAGAGGCAAACCAAGCCCAGGTTTTTTTTTCATGCACTGTTTATTTTTCAATGGCAGACAAAAGCAGGAGTGGCTTAACAGGAGATGGTGCAACACTCTTACTCTACAGAGAATTACTTTATAGGTAAACACAAAGCCTAACCACATAAAAGTGTCACCATAGCTCAGGAATATGAAAACGTAAGAAAGCAATTCTTTAGCTCTCAATTATTCCCAAGAGGGTCATCACAGGAGAAGTAAAAAAAATGCTTCTTGTTTTTTTTTAAGTGCAGATGATAACTAAAGTTAGTGCACTAAAAAATGGTTTTACACAGTCAACACATTTACATATATAAATATATCTGTAGATTGTTTTTTTATATATATATATACACATAAAAGTATGTAAAATATATTAAAAACACAGTCTCTATAGAAACATAGCCATCTTCTCTCTTTTGCTGCAGGGAAGAAATGGTTACCTTACTACTACAGCCATGGATCACACAAATATATGCATTTGCATGGTTCTTTATTA